GGCGGGTACCTCCGCGGGCTCCTGCGCACAGCGCAGCTGCTCCTGCAGCTTCAGTACCCTCTGCGCCGCGCTCCGCCCCTCCGCCATGGCGCCTGGGCTGCTCAGCCTGCGCTCGCCCCTCTTGTAGCAACGCCCGCGACGTCACAGGCGGCTCCATGGCCCGGCCCGGCCTGGCCCTTCCTTGGGCGCGCTCCGGCCACGACGGCGCGTGTCGCCATCCCCGCCGGAGACCAGCGGTTCCCGCTGTTTCCTCGGCTTCCCCCCCGGGCTTTCTGCCTCTCGCCGAGACCTCCGAGCCGCCCCACGTCTATGTCTGAGATTTCCCCGGGGGTTTCGTGGTCGCGGGTGGATGGCCTGAAGCATGGCGGGGCCCTGGTGACAGGCGGCGCGGGCAGCCGCCTCCCCGGCCCGGGCCTCAGCTCTGGTCTCCGGCCTGAAGGCAACGCGGCCCCAGGGCCCGACCCAAAGCGGCGCTTCCCTGCCAGGCTGTTCGCTGATAGCTGCGACTGACCTGGTCGTTTGCTACCAGACTGTCAGCAGTAATAAAGAATACGTGTTTCTTTTTGTTCTACCTTTTCCGACTTGTATTAAACACGCAGTGTGGTGCAGAACAAGCACGGCTATAACTGAAGTAAGCCCATGGAGGTGAGGTGGGGGCTGCAGCCTGCCCCAAGAAATGCCGTGGCATGTGCTGGGGCTCTGCAAGAGCAGCAGGGTAGGAGGTAGGTCCGTCAGTACAGCCCTGGCAGCCCCGGCAGGAGCACCAGAGGTCGGTGGGACGCCATTAGCATCGGAGCCACTTGCGCTTGCTCATGCAAGCTGCTGCGGTTACCTGCAGGTAATTACGAGGTCTGTGCCATTTCTGTTGTCCAAGCCTGCCCTTAAGGCAGCTGCTTGGTGGACCTTAAGCACAGTGGCTTGCATAGGGGTAGCAAGGTCAAGCCCAGGAAGGCGCCCACAGGCACCCTACTGCAGTCCTAACCTGCAGGTGAAGGCAGCGCTCAGGCTGAAGAGGACATCCTTTTCTCTCTATCCTGCCTTATTTAGAGCTTGATGGCTAATGCTTTTTTTTTTTTTTTTTTTTTTGAGGGACAGAGTGCTTTCAGGCCCTGCAACTTTCAGCATGGCTCCTCTGTGGTTTACCTAAGGTCACAAAAAACATAGGACAGGAATCGGTCTTTGGTGTTGCATGAACTGTGTACCTGAAACAGGATCTCTGCCATCGAGCTTGCTGGGGCTGAGCACATGCTTGAAAGATGCTTAAGCTGAATGAGTCCCTTCTAAAAATATCTATGGGTTTGCAGTATTTGCTTGGAAGTGAATGTAGATATAATCAAAATAGATATATAGAACACTTTTCACTCTTTAAAGCAGTGTTTGGGCAAGTGTTAAAAAGAGTGTATCCAGTCTGAATTACAGGGGAGTTTTAAGTAGACAAAAGTCTGGTATTTGCATGTTAGGGTTATTACTCTTGCAAAATAGATCTCATTACAACTTGGCACTGTCTATTGCAAATTTATCAGTAGAAAAACCAAAATAGCTGGTAGGGAAATACAGTAAGTACAGGGCTCAGGTTGGATATGGAAAAAACAAATACAGGTCCCTGTTGCAGGCTAGGTGTCCAGTTCCCATGATCATCTTTTTGTTTTACAGAAACAATCAACTCATCTTCACAGTGCGTAAAGGCTTCATCAACCCTACCTTAAAATTGGCTGTCCGCAGCTAGTTACTCTTTATTTTTCTGACCCTAATAGTATGAAATTACTTACACAAAGTGTCATTTATGCAGATGAAACCTTGGAAGAGATTCAGCCCACACCAGCATTATGGGTAAAGTAATATTTGAGTAGGGAAGTTGAGTCTGATTGTCATATGGATTACATGATTGAAGGTGGGTTTCCCATATGTTTGAAAGCCTTAATTATCAAATTACTGGGTTTTCTGGGATGAGGAAAATCTTGCTGCACTTCTGCCCAATTATTCTGAAAGATCATGATTTAATGCCAGTGAAGAAGAATAATAAAACATTTAAAATCTCAAAAACTTTCCTACAACAAGAAAATTTTTTCTAGCCCAGATCTAACTGGAGCATTTCTCATATCACCTGACATAACTGGCAGAGGAAAGAATATCAAATTTACTTGGTCCTTCAAACCTGCCAGCTGATGTTGATCATTACAAGGATTTGTTCGGCATCGATGCAGGACTCCAGAAGAAGGAGGATTGCCACACCCCAAAATATAGCTCCAATATATGTTCTGTCACTATGTGCTCGAGAGCTGTGTTGTGCCATCAGGTCTGCTCCAAGACTTGCAAACTCATCTCATCCCTAGGGTCCTCTCTATGCCATACTGCCAGTGCTTGGTGAGTTTCTGAGAAAGAATGAAACCAGAAAGAGAAATAAGCTTTGTATGAGCTAGGAAGAAGAGATATGTGAGAGTTTCAGGGCATGGATCAATGTGAGAAGCTTGAATGGGCGAATTAGGCAATGGACTGGGAGTGAGTGATCAAGTACTGGAGGAAATCTGCCTCATGGGAGAGGTCTCAGTGACCCACCCAGGGTTGGGTGTCTTGCTGAACACAGTTCCCCAGAGCCACCTTCTGTGAAATCAAGGCCAGTGCATTTGATCCTAAACAGTACTAGTTTGTACATTTATTCAGCAGCTTATAAAGAAAACACGTTTCTTTTCCATCTCTATTGAAAAGACTGCAGTTCCTACTGAAATTCAGTATGTTATCACAATTATCTCCAATCTGCATAAGGAGCTTCAGCCCTCCTAAAGGCATTACTGGTGTGATTACTCAATATATTCAGATTAATGCATTTAAATATATTTTTCGTAACTATCATAGCGAAATTAATATGGGCTTTGAGGGTGCATAGTATTTGGCTGAGTATACACAAAGGGCTCAGAGCAAACAAAGCAGATAGTATCTAAAGCTGAGCCTGAGTTTTGTTAACATCTTTAGTCTACTGAGGTAGATCACCATGTGGCCATGGCTGTGACGTTTACATTACACCAACAAATCAAAGCATGCTGACTTCAAAGAAAAGGCTTTACTTTTTCCTGAAAGAGTGCAGTAATGGTTGTGCATGGATTAGAAAGGATGGTTATAATTGCCTTAAGGCCTATTTTGCTGATACAAGAACTTTCCCTATTGCTGATTCTGAATCATGCACGTGGAGCAAATAATAACAGTTATTCTTGTTTATTGGGCTGAGAACAAATCTCTTGAAATGTTTGTGGGTTTTTTTTTCCCCCTAAAAATGTTAAAACATTACTACATGCCCTGCTACTGCTGCATGGATTGGTAGTATTGTTCTTAGTCACTCACACAGACCAGTTGATTATGGAATAAATTAAATGTCTTTTCCCCAAGATTCACTCATACTTAAAAGGATACATCTTGAGAGGCTTAAGATATTGCCAAAATATCTACCACCTCTTTTAACTGAGAAGATAATTGATTGCAAGGACTTCAGTCAATATCAGAATATTTTATAGTAATTAATTTCTCTACCATTGGAAAGGAAATGAGCAGAAAGACAACTTTTCAAGATATAAGGGAAATGATGTTAAGAATATCTAAAAATTTAAAAACATTAAAGTTTGATTTTAGAAAATGTATCATGATTTGCAACTAATCCTGGTTTAAGACTTTGTTGTGAGCAAATGGAAAAAGAGAATCACCAAGTAAGTTCCAAGACTGGCCTGTATACTGCGTAATAGCCAAGTATGCTATCAGTCCTCTGATCTTGAAGACCAAGTAACTAAAGGTTTCATGGTTTTTGCCCTAATATACAACTAAAGTTTCAGAACTGTGGGAGATGTGTGATTGCGTCAGCGTTAGTACGTTGAGATGTGGAGGCATGCCCCACAGGATATTTATCTCTATACTGCACAGCTCAAAACATGTTCAGCGTTTTCTGGAAATTAGAAATTAGTTTTGTATTTTCAGTGGGGATATTTCCCCATTATCGCTTGTGTGTTTTTTTCAACAGTGAACTGTATAAGGAGGTTTAAAACACATTTGTAGAGACTGAGTAAGACTTAGATTTGTTTTACAGTGTGCTAGTAATTTTTAAAGATACAGTATGAAAATTAGAATAATATTTTTATTTTCTACAGAGCATGATATTGTATTAATTCTGCAGAAGAATTGTCCCCTTTATAAAAGAAAACCTAACTGAAAAATAACAAAAGAAAAAAAAATGTTTTCTCTGAAAAATGTTGGCTTTTTAGAACATCTTCAAATTATCACAATGTATAAATGTCTGGGCATGAGCTGTTGGGAACACTGAGTAGATCGGGTTCACTACTATGTATATGTTTTGGACTATGGGAGTCTTGTTTTAGAAGTACGCCTGTTCTATCTACAAAAACTAATAGTTACAAGTTCTTAAAACTCATGAAGCCCAGTGGGGAATATATTCTTTCTGTAAAAATCATTACAGCTGATCCTGTTAAGGCAGAGCTTAAAAAAAGGTCAAGAATAATTATCAGCGTAAGGAATTTTATTATTGGGTTGAACTGGTAAATTAAAATATATTGAGATTGTGTTAAGACAATGATAGATGTCATCTTACATATTAAATATGTTATACTGAGTCGTATATTTGAGGTAGTAGGAATATACACGTGAGGAAAAAAAAAAATGTATAGTAAGGAGAAGTTCCTAAAATATGCATTAAAATAAGGCGTTGTTCTTAATTTTTCACAACATGGCCCTATTTTTCATAAGGAAAGCTGGTTACCTTGTTGCTGTTGCAAGGGCTTCCCTTTATGTCCCTCTCCTTCACTCTCATTTCAGGTGTGTGATTGCCTTTCATTCCCTATTCTGTTTTTTCATTTTTATCTTGTAACTTTTTGTAGCTCCACTAGCACAGCCATGCTTTTTTGTTCAAAATGACAAGTGTTATTTTGCAGCAGTTGTTTCAGTGGCCCATCTGAGCCTGAAGGCAATCAATAAATCTACCAAATTAAAGATTACACAATGTACAGCTAAGAAAAAATCTTCCTTTTCTCTGACTTCCACTTCCCCCAATATCCTTCCCTTCCCATGCAGTAACCTGCATGCCTTTTATCTCTCCTATTGGATTAAATTCTCCTGGGATATGGAGGTTTGGCTTCATACTATTCCTGAGGTTTACTGGCAAGAAGTGGAGGTAAACTCTTCCCGTGTATGGTATAACCCACAGGTTAGAGGATACATTCCTGCGAGACAGAAGATCAAAGTTCACATCTCTCTCTGCAAATGCGTCAGGGAATGTGAGCCAGTATTCTTGAAAGCCAAGGCAAGTCTTTACAGAAGCAGCAAC